AGTGTGACCTCTCATATTGGGGGAGGCTAAGATGCTGTGATCATATATGCAACAATAATCCACTGATAGACAAAATATAGAAATTTGTTTCTCTGTCACATAACAGTTCAGAATGAGTCAAGGAATTCATTTCAGCAAGGAATTTTCCTCATGCAGTTGAGAGAACTCAGGCTCTGCCCACCTTCAGCACACAGTTTCCAGGGCTGCTGTGCTCTCTGCCAGCCCAGAAGAAGAATATGTGCAAGAGACAAACCCCTCTACTCAAAAGCTTATGCTCATATTCTTTTGCTGAGAACTAGTCACATAACCCCACCTACTTGCAAAGGGGGACTCAGAAGCACAGACTCTAACTGGGCCACTTCCCAGCCATACTCTGTCACTGTATCTTTTTATGGTCAGCAAGATATTACCTCCATGCCTCTGTGTGTCATTTGTTGTTCTAGACTTCTCATTTAAGCCCTTGCTCTAACACTCCAAGCAGATGGGGCTGTCATTGGTCCCAGAGTCTGTTCCATCTCCTCCCCCGGCTACTCCCTTTCCCACCCATGCCCAGCCTTAACACTGCAAAGTGAAGGTCTTGGTCCTCAACTATGAGCCACATCAACCCTTCTCTCAACATAGCCCCTTCTCTCTTACTTTCCTTGTATCCCAGGGAAGATATTTCCCTGCTTCTTCCTCATAAAGATGATGCTAGTAACCTTTTTTTCCCAGTAACTTTAAAAGTAGATTGTGATTTGTTAAAGTCACCTTTTAATTTACTGGCTTTTATTTGCTTATCATTTTAATTATTTCTGTTATATTTGGTTAGCCCTTTATACCCACAGGTTCCCCATCATTGAATTCAAATTTTAATTGTGTCTGTTCTGAACATGTACAGACTTACAGACTTTTTTCTTGTCAACCTTCCCTTATACTAAATAATACAGTGTAACAGCTATTTACATGATAGTCACATTGTGTTAAATAGTATAAGTAATCTAGAGTATTTAAGGTATATAAGAGGATTTGCAAAGATAATATGCAAACACTGTACCATTGAATGTAACAGAATTCAGCACCTGCAGATTTTGAACATGAACCACCCTACCTTGCATATTCAGAGGAATAGCTATACATCCATAAGATGTAATTGTCTTCCTACCAATTTTTACATTAATATTGTATTTTGTTATTGGTGTTTTCATTTGATCTAATGAAATTTGTCTTCACATGTCTAATTATCATTTTGTGTGACTTGCTTTTTTTAAAAAGTCTCTTTCTGTTATTTCTTTTGGGTAAAATCTTAAAACAGGGGGCTGAGTGGCCTTGAGGTATAGTTTAATAAGATCCTAACCAAATCTATTAACAAAAAAGTGAAGCAATATATTTTCAAGGTTAATAACTTTCTTTGTCGTTGCTCTCATGAAAAACACATTCATTGAATTATATTTAATTATTGCAAATGTTCAACAATATTTAAGTTTTGTATTTGTATTTCTGATGATAATGAAAAAAACTCTAAGTTCAAGAGAGCAGGCTGTCAGAAAGTTTGTTCATTAAAGACAAATTAAAACTTTTTGTTTATATGAAATCATAGTATATACCCTAGGAAAATGTCCAAATGCACTATCAATTGAATGAATAAATAGTTTGTTGGTTTGTGGTTGTTTTGTTTAACTAAAAAGGCAATGCCTTCTCTTTTTTTTCCTTTTTTAAAAATGTTTACGTTACTAGGATATGAGTGGTGGCAACTACCTGTATGTAATCCAAGTAACTCAAGGAGGCTGGGGTAGGAGGATCACAAGTTCAAGGCCAGCCTCAGCAACTTCCGGAGACCCTGCCTCAAAAAATAAGAAGGAGTAAAGGTGCTAGCTTAATGACAGAGCACCTCTAGGTTCCAGCCCCAATATGACACACACCCACCAAACTGACTTTATTAAACAGTCTCACCAGGTTTTTCTGAACCCCCAAATTTATAAATAATTTTATTAGTAAGTTTTCCTCATAATATTAGGATCTTGACTCATACTGGGAACTAGGACGTCTAAGAACAGCAGAACATTGATTTTTTTTAATCACAGATACATGTTCTGTTTTTTAGAGGTAAATATTGTATATGTTAAAGAACTTGTGAGTTTTAAATTAACTGATGACTGCATTTGAAAACTGAAGCATGCATACTTTTGAAAGCCTTGTGACATGTGAATAGTTAGTTGTTCATTCAAGGAATATCATCTAGTGACCACTATCTGTATAGTTCCTTTTACCTCTATTCAATTCCATTAACAGGTAAATTGTAACTGGAATTACAAAAATGGAGTATTACTTATAGTTATTATTCCTTTGGAAGATCACAACCATAATGATAGCTGTGAAATAATGAAAAAGAGCAACCTTGACTTAAATAATTTTATTTTTCTGAGGTTTGCAAACCTCATAGAAGAAGAGCCAAATTTAATTTAAATTTTTTGGAGAGGTAATAATCTTGATACTGAAATCCCTGTGCTAGTATAGGAGAGGAAGAAGACCAGGAATTCCTAGATAACTCAGAAGATTGGTCTCGTGGCAGCCATTTGTTTATAAAGATGCATTGCTGGGTATAGTGGTACATCCCTATAATCAGTCTCAGCTACTGGGGAGGCTGAGGTAGGAGAATTTGCAAGTTCACGGCCAGCCTGGGCAATTTATTGAGACCCTGTCTCAAGATATAAGTAAAAAGGGCTGGGGGTGGGGGTATCAAGCTTCAAGGTGGACTCCGCCTTCTTCAGCCATTTCCTAGGTCCCTAACCAAAAGCAACTTATTTATTTTGGACCTCAGTAAAAAGAAGGGAGTTTACCATGTTATTTGTTTTCAGACTCTACCCCCAGGGAGCACTAGGGTTTCTTGGAAACTTCTCTAGAGTCTTAGTGTAGGTTGAGTTGGAGACCCAACCGGAAAAGTTTGATTACTTCCAAGGTCCCCATCCAGCTCTATAAAAGCACATTGTTCTGTTTGTATCCATTTTTTCTTTATTTATTTTTTGGGAAAAGGCTTATAGCAAATCAGGGTAAAGACAACTTTGTAAGTTAAAAGTACTTAGTATTTGGATTTGGAAGGCTAAGTGAATGAACTCAAAGGAGCACCACTTCCCTTTTTAAAAAGGGTGAGGGTGGGGTGGGACGGAAGAAAAGGCAGTGTCCACAGAGGCACAAAGGATTTCAGCCCTGGAAGAAAATCCTCATCTTGGACAAAAGCTTGGAACTGGTAGCTGTGAGAGATTTAAAAGAAGTCATGAAAAGTAAAAAGAACATTTTGTCTTTCTCTTTTTTATTTTCAATAATCTCATAAATCAATTTCCTTGTACTTCAGATATAAATAATGTACCCTATTATTTGCTTTGGCCAACTTTTTAAGCTTTCAGAATTCTCTGTACATTAAAGCAAATTGGTATTGTTTATATTTCACAATCCAGTTGTTTCAGCAATTATTCATGACTATTATTAATTGATTTGTCTACCTAAATAGAAAACTATAAAAACTACTTGATAGTCTGATACTGTCCATGAAATATGCAAACAAACATCTCTATAAGCTAAATATTTAGACCAATATTCTAACTGCTTATAAAGGTCTAATTTTATTTATTTATTTATTTATTTATTTATTTATTTATTTATTACTTTCTCGTTGTTATTACTGATTAGGATGAGAACAAGAGGAAGTAATGGTTATTCTTGGACCCCACATTCAGCAATTCCTCTGTTTTCTCTCTATAAATGGTTTAATTGGTTAACCACTTCCAGAATCAGATAGCCATTGGATCCAAACCTTAAGCAAGTCATTTTGACTCTTTGCCATCATTGTCTTCTCTAAATGGAAATAATTACATTTCCTGCTCCATAATGTTTCTGTGGGGTTAAATAAATTGTAATATGTGATATTACACATATTACACATATTACAATTTATTTAACCTCATGGTTGACATGGATATTGCATATCTACTATTATTAAGCAGAAGAGCCGAAATTAGTGAAACTTGAACCTTCATGGGAGATAAGAAAGTCTGCTAAGGTAGAGGAAAAGGTATCAATCTGGGGGAACATATTCTGGAACAATTAATCTGACAACAGTCTATGAAAAAAATTAGTACGAAGTGACAGCAGAGTGTCAGGGAGTTAAGATGCTCTAGGCCAGGCAAGAGATGAAAATGTCCTGAACTACCCTGTGGAATTGGATTGGGAGATATATGCAAAGTCAGGCTTTTATTAGGGCAAGAGGAAGAAGACAATACCTTTAAACTCTCAAACTGAATGACTGGCATTATGGGTATTTCATTAATATAAGTACAATCCCAGGATTATTCTTTGATTTCTGAATATTTTCTGTATTTTGAGAAATAAGGAATGCAAAGTTTTAGAGACTAATGAACATTAAAGTTGGTCATATCACATTATACTGTAATATATGTAATAAGTAGCCAGTCATCTTCATCAAGAAATGTGTAGATAACATATCTTTTAAAGAACTTTTCTTCAGTTAAGAAAAACATTTCCTTTTTATCCAGTTATTTGATTTAGATTTCTATATTGTATCAGACCTTAGAGTTTTGTTATTCTTTGATTGTTGTATCCCAAGATTGTTGATATAATGATCTAAGGAACTTAAATATAAAATCTGTTGAATTTTTTGGGGGGAAGGGATATCAGGCATTGAACTCGGGGGCACTTGACTCCTGAGTCACATCCCCAGCCCTATTTTGTATTTTATTTAGAAACAGGATCTCACTAAGTTGCTTAGAGCCTCACCATTGCTGAGGCTGACTTTGAACTTGCAATCCTCCTGTCTCGGCTTCCTGAGTTGCTGGGATTACGGCATGCGCCACTGCACTCGGCAACAAATCTGTTGAAAACTGGGCCATCTCCTTCTGCATTTGAACCCAACATACTATATCTCTAGAAATACACATATATTTATATAGTATTTCTCAGTTGTGAATAATTTTAGTCCATTGTTTGATTAGTATTTTTATTATTTCCAGGTTCGATGGATGATGTACTGGATTGTTTTTGCCCTCTACACTGTGATTGAAACAATAGCAGATCAAACAGTTGCTTGGTGAGTTCTACTGTTGGGGACTACAGACTTATTTTCAGTGTCCTGAGTTTTTGTCCTGCTCCTGCTGTTAACTAAGTGAATTTGATCAACTTACTTCATATCCAACATCTCATTTTCTTCATCTGCTTTCTCCATGAAATCATTACTTTCCACTCCTCAAATAAAGGCAGATCATTCTGTTCCCAAGAATTCCAATGAAATCAAGAAGCTTGGTCTGGTGGCAGCTGCTTATTTAAAAAGATGCAGCTCAATAGTAGAGTGCTTGCCTAGTATGCACAAAGCCCCGGGTTCAACCCCCAGTACTGCCAAAAAAAAAAAAATGTGTAGAAAAAGCTTAATGTGAGTATTGAAAGTCTACACATTCCTCGGTTGCACTGTGGCAGACATGCTTTGTTGACTGCACAGTAGTCACTCCTCACTGTCACCTACTTGTCTGCCTGTAAATCATAAGAACCCAGACTTGTTCAGTTTATCCTAGGTATTGACTCCTTATGGACCATAAGACAGATTAGTTAACTCTAAGAGTGCTTAAAAAAAAAAAAAATCACCCTAAAGCGCGTTAGAACAACAGACAAGTATTTCTTCCACATGCTGCCTGAGGGCAAATGGTTGGCTGGAGCTTTGCTGGCTCAGCTAAGTTTTAAGTGTCTTCTCATTTCAGGATCAAGGCTGAAGAAGCAGCTGTTCTCATGGTAGAAGGCAAAAGCTTAAAGCAAGAGGTTGAGGACCTTGGGGTGAGAAAGTCAAAGGGTATTGGAAGGTTCTGCTTGCATTTGACATATATCACATTCCCATTCTGTTGGCCAAAGCATGTCATCTGGCTAAACCCACAATCATTGGTTGGGGAAGTGTACTTAGTCTATAGGAAAGGTACTAGGAAATCATGGGGAAAAGGACACGGATGTTAACTGGAATTCCCAGTCTACTATCTGGGGGTAATTCCATTTCCCCTTCAATTGCAAGTGAAATATTGCAGTTCTGGCAAGGTAGACTGGAGAGGAAGTTTTCTTGGAGTTCTGAGAAAGATCAAGAGGTGTGCATATGAGGTCTGCATTGTGCACTTGGAGCATATAGTGTCCTGATGTTTGGAGGTATGTCCTATACTTCTATGGTAACTTAGCTCCACAGACAGAGTGGGTATATGTTACTGCCAGGGCTGGATGGCAGAAGGGGCTGTTAATGCCCTCTCTTGACAGCTACGGTCAGTTTGACAGCTTGCCCATGCTTGCTTCAAAGGAAGAATATTGTACTAGAAGTTGTGACCTTCTGAGGGCATTAGTGCACTCTGGTTAATTCATTTGTCAATTCATCAGTTTGTCAATTCATTTGTCATTCAGTGTGCCCCTGATCACACTACTTTCTACATGTAAAAACTTAACATAGAGACTAAACTTTTAAAAAATATATTTGTGTTTTCCACATAATAGTTACCCCTCATCCCCACTGGAAATATTTTCGTTTTTTTTTTTTCTTGTTAGGTTTCCTTTGTACTATGAACTGAAGATTGCTTTTGTCATATGGCTGCTCTCTCCCTATACCAAAGGAGCAAGTTTGATATATAGAAAATTCCTTCATCCACTTCTTTCTTCAAAGGAAAGGGTAAGATATATAAATTATTTCCACAAGTCATTTTTTAGAAATGTATATCAACACATGACTTATGATATAAAATTAGTGAAACTGGTACATGGTAAAGAGAAAGTCCTAGTTTGGGGCTTCTTAACAATATTTATAGATAAAACTAACATATATGGTTATTTTGTTTTTGTTTTCCCAGGAGATTGATGATTATATTGTACAAGCAAAGGAACGGGGCTATGAGACCATGGTAAATTTTGGACGGCAAGGTCTAAACCTAGCAGCTACTGCAGCTGTCACTGCAGCGGTGAAGGTAATTTTTCTTTTACCTTTTTATCCAGTGCCCCACATTAAGTCAACAGATAAAGAAAGATGGCTTTTTATTTCATATGATTATAAAATTGTGGCAGAATTTTGCTTTGTGTTTGTTCTAATACTGGAAAGAACACATAGATAATTTTAAAGATAATTTAACACTGTGTTTCTGTTTGCTATTTTGAAATTCTTAGTTGATTCCTAAATGAGAGACAGTTAATTAAAAAAAATTGAAAATGTCATTTTGTCATAATTTTCCCACTTTATAACCTTGAGACAGTTTGAATAAATCACCTTAAGTAAAGATGACCATTCTTCTTTCTCTGTCTTTGGTGTTCTCTTTCTCTCTCTCTCTCGATGGCAATATCTGGGTAGGATTTCGGGCTTACTTCTGCACCTCTACTTCAATCAATTTGAGGTAACTGATTATTCTAAATAAGGCATGAAAAAATTCTGTTCTTAAAACTTGAAATTTTACTTAGCCAATTACTAATGTCATTTGCTGTGTTTGCAAGCCAAGTTATCAAATGAATGCCTTCTGTGAAAATTTGTATTATGGCTTTTGGATTTTTTTGCATGTAGTAATTGGTGTGGTTTATTTTAAATACTGTAGAGTAATTGATTTTAATATGTGGTATATGGAAAGAAAACAGGCTTTATATCCAGAAAGTGCTGCGTGTGACTTCCTAAGTAATCATAGATAATTTATCTAATTTCTGTCTTCATAAGTTGGTTGTTGTATAGAATGGGGTAATGTATTTACCTGTGAGAGCATATATAAAGATAGAGTACTTTCTTGCACAGTGGGATTCCAGTAAACATTGATATCATGTCTATCTCACTTCAAGTTAAAATTTGAGTTTACTGCTAGTAAGTTAAATTGAGAGTAAATAGTGTTCTGCTTTCAAGTCAGGCTCCATTACTTAACTTAAATGCAAACAACAATGCTGTGGAAAGAAATATTCCAGTTATGTGGTGATTTTTATATCATTGCAATGTGGAAGGGATGTAACACGAGGGTGCTTTCACTTTTCAAAGGGATCTTTGACTCAAAAATCAAAATCAATATAATCAACAGGATAAAAATTTCAAATTTTATATATATATATATATATATATATATATATATATAAAACAATAATCATTAATAAATTATTATTAATTATAGTATAGTGTATACTATAATGCAGTATTGTTTTCAGGTTATTTGGCATTTAAGGGCTTTTTCTTTTATTAAGATAGATTAATAAATAATCATTAGAATAGCAAAAGTTTCAGCTTAAAGGACTATTTCCATTTTTAGAAGTTCAGTTGCTTTATATTTCTTATTTTATGAAAATGCAATCCTGATTTCCTTATCTGCTCAAAAAAAAAAAATCCAGGAAATCCCACATTCAACAACTAGGAATTTTAAAATGAGAAAACAGACACCTGTTTTAGTAATACCTGCTACTCAGAAGGCTGAAGCAGGAGGATCTCAAGTTTTGAGACCAGCATGGACAACTTGGTGAGGCCTGTCTGAAGATACAAAGTAAAAAAAGACAGGGGATGGGATGGGTTTGTGCCTCAGTGGTAGAGCACTTGCCTAGCATGGGTGAGGCACTGGGTTCAATCCCCAGTACTATATAAAAATAAACAAATAAATAAAGGTATTGTATCCATCTACAACTAAAAAAAATTTAAAAAACAAAAAAGACAGGGGATATAACTCAGTGATAGAGCACCCTGGAGTTCAATCCCAGTACCACCAAAACAAAAAAGATTTATATCACATTCAAATGATCTAGAAGAATATTGGCATTAAATTTCTAAATGGTGACATTGGAAAATTGAAAACAGAATGTACCATCCATGATGCCATCATGATATTCACCCTCAAGTTCTGTAATGGTCAAGTTCAAGAGGGCTGGGGATATAGCTCAGTTGGCAGAGTGCTTGTTCACATGCACAAGGCCCTGGCTTCAATCTCTAGCACCACATGCACACATACAAAATTGGCAAATCTTACTGTATGTTAATTGTACATCAATAAAATTGACACAAAAATTGTTGTAAATGAATATACATTTAAGAAAAAAGATCAGTCATATATGAGCTTCTAGTGATTTTTTTTTTTTTTTTTTAATTCTACACATACAGAGACACAGAATTTACCTATAATCCTTTGTCAGGGCAGATGTGATCTGTTAAAGACAGAATAATCCACAAAAAGCAAACCATGAAGTATGAAAAACAAATTAGCAGGTTAGCCAACACAGAAGGGAGATGACAAAACTCCCAGGAAGGAACTTTGAAGCAAGTCCAAAGAGCAAACAGCCAACATTGGATGTAATGGATGAAAGGTGCTGCTGGCAAGAGTGTGGAGCTCAAAGAATCTTTTGGAAGAGTGTGGAGCTGAGAGAATCTAATGGGTTTAATACTGCTCAGGGATGTTACTCAAACACATCAGAGTGTATGCTGCGACCACAGCACTTATTATATTATCTTATTTATTATATACAGACAGCTGGTATCTGTGCAATTGCACATCAACCCTGAGCACCAGGAAAAGCGTATTGAGGCAATGTAAAGAGGGAGAATGGAACAACTGAGCACCAACAAAGGCGGGCATAATCATCAACTCAGAGGCAAAAACAAAAGTTACATAAGAAAGGAAATAATAATAATGGAGCCTTACTTAGCCCACAGTGAATAGCATTTGCATTAATAAGAATAATGAGAATACAGACTAAGGATTTAACAAATGTGATTTTGTTATATTGGGAGTATGAAGGAAGGAGAAAGGGAAGTGGAAAAGAACTAATCCTCATCTATCATAATGGGAAAACAAAGGGTTTGAAATGGCCAGGATGAAAGAAAGAAGGGAACTAAGAACTTATTGCTGTTCATTTGTAATAAAACTTAACATTATTTGACCTTTCAAACTAAGTATGTATATTTATTTACATCCAAATGAAGATGCTTTCTGAATTTTTCATATTTAAAAGCATGATTTAACATGCTTCTATGGAGAAAAACTGAAAAATTTCAACCTGAAAATTTGTTTAGAAAACAGACATTTTCAGATATCATTTTGGTAAAGATAGAAGCGAATCCCATTTTTCCTACCCACTGTAACATGTAAGTTGAGTCTATAATCTGCTGTTCTGTGAGTCACCTTTGTACACACTGAGAACATTTTGTGAGATACTTATTTTATTTTGATTTACATTTACTGCTACTGAACCCTCTAAGTGGGGGTAGCAACCTCTATTGTATTATTTCATTCTTATTTCGCCCTCATTTGTTTTTGTGGATTGTTGTTTTTTAAATATTTTTAGTTGTAGTTGGACACAATACCTTTGTTTTATTTATTTATTTTTATGTGGTGCTGAGGATCAAACCCAGTGCCTCACACATGCTAGGCCAGTACTCTACCACTGAGCCACAACCTCAGCCCATTCTCATTTGTTTTTTGTTTTGGTTTGGTTTGGGGTTTTCATTATTATTATTATTTCATATTTTTTAGATATTGATAGACCTTTATTTTATTCATTTATTTATATGAATTTATTTACATGCAGTGCTGAGAATCAAACCCAGTATCTCACACATGCTAGGCAAACATTCTACCACTGAGCCATAACCCCAGCCCCTCATTTGTTTTTATTTCATACTTTGCCTCCATAAATATTTAGCTTTCTACTTATCATTTATTTAATATCTGTTTACTTAATACCTACACCTACCACAAGCTAAATGCCAAGGATGTAGCAGTGAATAAGATAGATTTAGTCCTTTCCCTCACAATTTACTATCTACCTGTAGCTAATGTCTGTATTCACTAACTGAAAATTTTACTCCATCTTTGGTTGCTAAGAGCCCCCTTACCCCTACCCTCCATTATTAAACAGTATCTCACAGAAAGACTTTTCTGCAAAAATACTATGAAAGTAATCCTGTATCTATTTTCTCAAGCTTTGTTTCTTCATCATTGATTTTATTTATATATTTAACACCTTAAAGTCACCTCTCCACCCCCAAAGCCAGAAAGCAGAGAGCATGAAAATCACCCAAGTTACTACTGCAAAACAAATAGAAACACATATCCCATAACTGAAATTTATTTTGACATTGTCCCCACTTGTTCATGATGTCCTGATTCTTTTCTCAACAAGATCCCTGTCGGGGTGGGAGGAGTGGGTAACCTTCACCATTCCCATGATGAATATTAGAGACTCCAAGAATATTAGAGACTCCAACCTGGAGTCATTAAGAAAGTCATTAAGATGGGCTAGGTGGTTCATACCTGAATCCCAGCCACTAAGGAGGCTGAGGCAGGAGGATCACGAGTTTCAGGAAAAATGGACAACTTAGTAAGATCCTACCTCAAAATAAAAGTAAAAAAGGATTGGGGATATAACTTGGTGGTAGAGCTTCCCTTGGTTCAATGTTTTTTATTTTAAGACAAAGTCTCACTAAATTGCCCAGACTAGCCTTGCGGTCCTCCTGCCTCACACTCCTGAATTACTGGGTTTATAGGCATGCACTACCACACCTCGGTACTATGCTTATTTTAAAGTAGCCAAATTAGTTTCATCTCTGGAGCTGTCATAAAAAAGTATTGTCATAGAAGAATCACTGAACTAGATACTTCGTACTCACAAGTAAATTGAAACTGAAATTAATCGGTCAATTTTATGGAGAAACTACAAGAAAGTCTACAATAATGACTTGAGAATTATTTTTAAATTTTACAATATAAGTTTTTAAAAAATACCTTTCAGGGGACTGGGGTTCTGGCTCAGTGGTAGAGTACTTGCCTGGCATGTGTGAGGCACTGGGTTCAATTCTCAGCACTACATATAAATAAATGAATAAAATAAAGGTCCATCAACAACTAAAAAATACATAGATTAAAAAAAAATACCTTTCAGGGGTGGAGGTTGTGACTCAATGGTAGAGTGCTTGCCTGGCATGTGTGAGGCACTGCATTTGATCCTCCGCACCACATGAAAA